CAGTTCAAAATTATTTTTTGTATAGACAATACAGTTGATTTAACAATTCAAAAAGTGTATATAATATTTCTCATAGGTAACTTTGCCAGTTACTAGATATCTATAAAGCAACAACATTAAGTATTTAAAAATTTAGAATATATGCACTATCTGGTTACACATTAATTATAATGGAATACTGTTTACTGTTCATTGATTATTTTTAAACTACTAGATAATTATTAAATAATAATAATTAATAATGATTTTTTTAAAGTTTTAATTTCTTATAAAAAAAAAGAATGAATAAAATCGTTGTACCTTTATTAAGTATTTCCTAGTGAAACAGAGAGGTATACCTAAGGTACCTATGTTAACAAATTTTAATCTTTAATATCTAAGTTTTCAAATTATACTTTATTACCTATAAATTATTTAAAAAAAAAAATGTGTTGACATACTAACATACTAATACTTTAGTTAACTTAAGCTTTTACTCAAGCTGACATGTGTTAAAAATAGGTTGAATGACAATCATTCAAAATGATTTAAATGTATTTAAAAGTCTGGTTAAAAATTTTTAAATAAAAAAAAAGACTTTTAGAAAATATCACAAAATATGACTTGTTTAACTAATTTTGAATTATTCTAAAAATTATGTAGTTGAAAGTCAAAATAATATAATATCAATAAAAATAAAAGATGTTTTTAAATTCAGTGCATTATTTATTTTTTATTATTAGGTGCAATTTTTATTATTATATAGGTATTCATTTTAAATCTAAAATTACTTATCTTAACTTTAAGTTACAGAGATCAGTAATTTTGGATTCAAATGATTCAATCTAATGAAAAATAACTTCAACGATTTTATTAATGAATAATTTCTATATTTTTAGGATGATTTTGGGATAATATTTACTCATTAGACTAGATGTGATATTGGTGTGGATTTATAATTATACTGCGCCATATGGCAAACATGACATGTTTATAGCTGATAACCGACACTCAACGGTCGACGGCCGTTATACAAAAACATCAATAACTGTTGTTTATACATTTTAAATTATATTTACTTATTAACTTTGTAGGTTTCAATAACTAAAATGTATAAAACTGTGAAAATATTGCTTTTTTTGTGTACAGTATTTATTTTTTGTTTTTACGTACATACTAATACTAATAAATAATCATTTGGAGATAAATGGACTATATTTTTTAAATATGGGACAAGAAGTGTTTCAATCAAAGTTTGGACAAAGACAATCGATGCGTTTTTATTTTTTAGTAGGTACTTCAATTTTTTAGTAGTTTTCATCGCAAAAAACATTTTCAAGCAGTTAAGATTTATGAAATACTTAGCCAGATTTTGATAACTTATTTTTATAAAGATGCAGGTCGTATTGGTATCTGATTTGATAAACTTTATTTTCAAAAGTTATAATAAACGTCCATGTATTACAACTTGTTTAATATTTTTCTAATGTTAATTAAAATGAATTAAAAATCCAGATTTTCATGTAACCTGAATAAAGTTTTCCTCTCTCAAATAAATATCAAAAACTGAAAATTCTATGAGGCATGATCATTTTTTCTATAAAATAATGTTTTTATGTTTACACTAAAATATTCTCTTTTTAAATTAGAGCTATTGATTTTCTTATTATTTAACAAATTTGTTGTATGTATTCGTATTATAATTTATTAAATATATTATATTAAATTTAAGAATATTTATTATTTAATTTCTAATTATTTATCGTATTTATACATACCATATTATTATTATCATACCCATATAAATTTTTAAAATCTAAATTAAACAGTTATACTAGGGTAAGACGTGTGAAATTTCTGAGGATTTTAGTTTAATATAGTATACGTAATTATATACAGTATAATAATTATTATTATGTAATTTTTATAATTTTATTTTTATTACATGAGATATTTCAAATGCCTACTGAAGTTTGAAATTATAATAATATATATAATAATTATTTAAAAAGGTTTAAGCACTTCTAGTTCTAATAGATAAATGATATAATTAAATTAAGTTAATTTAAGTTTTAAGTTATAATTTTAAATCTAAACTATAATTTGTTTCTTGTTGGTGAAAGGTACTAATGTATTTTAATAAACCTCTAATGGATAGTATATAAATAATTAATGAATTTATATCTTGACTGTGTGTACAATTTTAATAGGCGTTATACTCTAAATTCAATGGCCATAGTAGTAACTATACAGTTATGCAAAATAACTTCAGAGTTACGTAATGTTTAAATTTTTAATATAAAAATCGTTGTGAAGTTTTTCATAGGTAAGAATTAGTGTCCCACTATAAAATATTTACCTTTGAGCCTCTAGACGATTTGATTAAATTAGTTTGGAAAAGTGTATCATCTCCTTATGATTTATAAATCTTGTATCACTCAGTGATTTAGAATTTAAAATAAATATACAAAATTTATTTTGATAACAAAGGCCTTCATTTTTTATTAGGGAGTTAATTTCAAATAAACTAAGTTACTTTAAAGTTTAGATTTTATTTTTATACTTTACCTATAGTAATAAATGTGGATATTGATTTAAAAATGATATTATGTGTTTTTTGCCTAAATACACAATGAGTAGTAATTTTAAATTTTATTTTTAAAAATTCATTAAATTTTAATATTAATACTTAAAATATGAAAACATAATACATGGCAGTTTTTACTAAAACCAACAAATCTAAAAAAATGTTTAAGTACAACGACATTTTCAAACCATTTAGATTCAATTTATGCTATTGCCTATTTTTTTATACTACGAATCCTAATATATTCACACCGTTGTACAGTAAGTCTGTAAAGTTGATTACAATAATATTATGTACCTTACCATAAATACATAGATACTATTATAATTGTTAAATATTAGTCATGTAATAAATATTTTAGACAAAAATTAATTAAAATTATCGTATTATTAATAATAAAATAAATTACTTTAACAGCAATATAAATATACTTAGTAATTATACTGATGAACCATCTTTATTTAGAGTCATTTTTTGTATGCAATAATTTATCATTGAATTCAAATTTAACACATCCATTACAGTGGCTTACTTATTGATAAAATATACTTGACGGCTACTGTACAGCAGAACGGTTACTTAATTTCTAGTTTTCTATTTTAATTTGTATTATGGTACTTTAACTATACTGGACCAAAATTTAGTAGTTGTTATGTCTATTTTACTTTTCCTGTACTCAACCTCAGAGACATCATGTATTTAAAAATATATTTATGTGAATATTTAATTTTATTGACTTTATATAGATTATACTAATATAGTACCTTAAAAAATGTTAAGAATATTTATTTTAATATCTGTTAGGTTTTGATAAATAGTTTATTAATTAAAAAAAAATAACTTATTGAAAAAATATTGGTAAATTTATACATGATACTAATCAATTTCGATCACCTAATTTGGATTCTTAACCATTGCATGAGGATAACATGCTAGCGTAGTATCAAGGTAAGACCCACATCTGCAGTTAGTAGATACTTAAAAATATTTAAAAAAAAATTAATTTATGTTATATATTTTTAATTTTTTACAAATTAATATTTATTTCTCCTGCATATCAAAATATGTAGATAATATTTAAAATACATTTCGAGGATTTATTTTAAAATAAGTTTTCAAAGTTACTCTGAAATCTGTAGTTAAAATTATTGTTAAATAATTTTCGATGCTTATTTTTTGTTTTCCGGATAAAATGATGATTTAATGATAAAATATGATTTTTAATGATTTTTCTTTAGATTTACGCACAGTTACATAGGAGATAATTTTTTTTTTTTGTATTCTATAATCATATACATAATAATAATAATATTATAAATTTATACTAATATATTTTTTCGGCCAATTGCGGATTAGCAATTTTTATAATTTTTTTAAATTTATAAAAAATGCAATAATGCAATTACTCAAACAAGATAAAAAACACTAAATTTTGCGTGTCACGGTGCGATGCGCCTGCTGGAACGTCGGTAAATCCGACACTGCATTTAACACGGACGGGTTAACCGGAAAACCGAATACTATATTATTATACCACCGCTGAGGCGCCGTCACGGCTACAGCGCGTGTTACGATTTCGTTGGCGAGAGAGTGAAATCATTTATATCATTATCTTTATTATTATTATTATTATATGTACCTAATAATAATTTATTATTGTATATAAAACTTATTGCGTTGTCCGTCACAGGCGTTGTGTAACGCCAACTCTGCCGCCAACGTGATGCAACGCCGTGGCGGGAAAGCAATAACAGCCTCCATCGAAAACGACACATGTTGTCAGATACGGCGGCGGTCGTGAACTCGTCGCCGCTTGGCGTTGTTGTCGTTGCCGTCTCTGCCGCTGCCCGTTGCCATTCACAAACGTCAAACACACCGTCGTCCCTTTACATTATCGTAAAATAATAGTAATTAATTGCAGAAATGGAGCAATAGTTGGTGTTCTGACACAACGTCGGATAATATTATAATATTAACTGGAAGCTCGCGCGCAGGTTAGGTAGGTATACTCCTCGTGTATACTCCGCAAATAATCAAAACCGTATATATCATTATCATAATAGTCATAATACTATATCGGCGGCGCGTACTATAATTATTGAGTAGGTATAATATACCTACGTCAGACGTCTGTTTTTCTCTCGATTACCTCTTTTTTTTTTTTTATTGTTTTTCATTCCGATCACCTACGACTTGTGTATATCATTATTATTATAATATCGTACGGCGTTTATAGTAGGTACCTACCTACGCTTTCACGAGGGCGGCCTTGAATGGACGACATTGACAGTGTTCTCGTGATACATAAATAGCTAATATGTATAAAATAAACGCGTAATAATAATAATATTATTATTATTTATTACGCACGTATAACGCGTTCAACCGGGTGCGTTGTGTGTACCTACTACCTAAACATTATTATAGGAACTGCAGTCAATAACAAAAATAATTCTGCTCGCGCATTAAACTGTTGTTTCGGGGAACGGCGGGCAGCGCGCGGCGAGCAGCAACAGCGCACAACCGGCTACGCGATATTTTTTGTACCTGCCGTAACAGTTATCAGTCAATCGTGACACGGACGCCCGGACGGACGGACGGACGAAGACGTGCCCGAAAATGCCACAACTCATATTGTCCAACAGCGAACGGATCGCTCCGGCGGCCGTCATCGACGACAACCGCAAACCCGTCGGCACGGACGTCGATTTCCCCGACGTGCTGGCCGACCTGGACGTGGACTCGATGCCGGACGACGTTGTCGAGTACGGTCGAGTCCGAGTGGGCGAGACCGAGGAGTCCAGGACCAGACTGTTGGCTGAACTTGAGGACATGATATATGGTGAGCATCTGAAATAATATTAGTGTCAAGTGTCAACCGACTGGAAATTAGCAAAATGAATACCTCACGAACACAGTAATATATGATATTATTGATATTACTTTATATGTTCGGCCGATAGTTGGGCGTGTATTATATTTGTGTTATTTTCAATTCACGAACTGATTTTATGCTTGGTTGTTCTTATTTTTTAAATTATTTCGTTATAAAAATTGTTTCCCATAATTGGACGTATTTTGAATAGCGGTGACGCGTGTTCACTGATATGTATAGTACATTTTTTTATGGTTTATCAAATAACTGCAGACAGAAGTTGATTGCAAAATGATATATTTATTGAATTTAATCTTTCTTTTTTATTTGATTGTTTTCCACTTAATAATTGAAAACTACTTTAATTCTATGAATGAAGAACTATATGTTCTGTTTTTGAAACAAATAATTTCGCTTAGTCGTACTACGCTTTTTTTTTGTATATTAATCAATTTTATAGAGTAGGTATAGATGCAAGAGGAATGAAGTTTTAAGTAATTTTAAGAAAATTTAAATGCTTTTTTATTAGTTACCTTTATTAAACAAATTCGTTTTATACATTAAAATAATGGTTCTTCACGCATAAACTATTCATAAATTAGTTTATTGTACCTACATAATATTTGTATTATTTATTTAATATTAAAATGATCAATGTTAAAAAACATTTATTGAACAGATAATGTAATACATATTTAAAATGTACGTAATCTATTAATTTATACTTGTAATATGTTAAAGTCTAGGTCTATTAATATGTAGAGGAAAATTACATTTCAATAACTACCAGTTTCATTGAAATGATTATTTTACTTACTTAAGGATACAATATAATATATTATATAATATTATAATATCATGATATTTACTGGTTTTTATATTTTACTTACTTTAAATACCCTTGATCTTTAATAATAAAAACTTATCATATGAATTTGCAATGGTCCTTATTGACATTCAGAACTTCCACAAGGTTTACCAGAATTAGTCTTATGTCCGTTTCCTGTTTAATACATTTATAGTTTATATACGTATATGTGTATTAAACTTGGTTACCTATTTTTCTGCGGTGCTATACAGATATCACAATAACGTATCACATATTATAAATATATATATATATAATATATATTTATTTGCATATGTTATATAATATAAACACAAATATTCTTTAAACAAACGTTATTATTCCTGTTTTAAAATAACTAATTACGACACCATTAGTATTCAATATTTTTACAGCAATAATTTTATGCCATTACATTGAAAAAATATTTAATTGTAATTTACATTTATAATATACGTATCCCATTTTATTTTAATTAATGTAATAGTAAAAAAATTTAAAATTCCATTAATTTTTTAGTTTTTTAAGTTATTGTGTATAATTTGAATCTATCTATTAATGGCCGTTGGTTATATTATTAAATCTTGACTTAAACTTAATAAGTTTTTAACAATATTAGAAATCAAATATTTAAATATTTATAAATACTTGTTATCGGATAAATGTTATGCTAGGCACATAATATTATTAGCTATTTGTATTTACTTAAATCATAGTGTTTTATGACGATAATTAAGTATGAAAATAAATAGTTGTATTTACAAATTTAATACCATGGAATTTAAAGTTATTAATCCATACTTAATAATCTATATTTGATTAAATTTTGAGTAAATTATTTAGGTACAAAAAACTACAAATAATATTTATTATTTTTATTTATAATCATTAATTACGAATCAATAAACTTTGTAGCCTTTTCTTATTCAAATAAATAACATATAATAAAAAACAAGTAAATTTTAAGATAATACTTATATAAATAAGTGATGTTTATGATTAACATAATTCATAAAGTATAATTATTTACCTTCAATATACAATATTTAAATATTTAAAAATAATAACGTGTATTAATATGCTTATATTTTAAGTGTTCTCGCGCCTTTAATATAAAATAGTTCGATAAAATATAATTCCGTTTATCATAATAATTTAAAATCTAATCACTAATTCATTATTCTTTGAAGGTATGACCAAATTAATAATGATTTATTTAGAGTGAGAGGTAAATGTCAATCTATAAATATACTAGAAGAAAATGATTTTAATTTGGTTTTATATGTATTTATATATTATTCAAATTTCTAAAAAAAAAAAAATAATATATAAAAAATAAACTTTTTGTAATGTTTTTAATTATAATAAATTATATAACGTTCAATTATTTGATGTTTACTTTAAAAGTAAGCTGACAGAGATAATGTTGTTATTTTTTCCTTTATTCAGAGAAAGGGGATGTTACACCGCACAGAATGGATGAAAAGTTTCTACTACGGTTTTTAAGAGCTCGACATTTCAAACTTAATGCCACATACAAACTAGTAAGTAATTTAAAAAAATTAAATTAATAGTTAAAAAATAAGGTATGAATAATAAGACTACTAAAAAATTAAAATATAAATAAAAATCAAATAATTTCCTTTTAGAAAAACTTTTAAAAGAATTCACAATAATTAGTTAAATTTAATCATATAAATTATTTAAATATGTAATGAGTTTATAATGTAATATATTACTCCAAAGCAATATTAGAATAGATATATTAATGTCTAAAATTTGAACATAAAATCCATATTTTGATATACGATTCCCAGTCAAGTCTACTGAGGTTTGCTTTTGGATTAATGTCATCATTTTTCCAAGAAAAGATGAGATAAATAAACTCATTAAATCATTGTTAAATTAAATAGTTCCACTTAGAATTTAGAAGTTGTAGAATAAAATATCTTTGTAAATTTTAAATTTAATGGTTTAACATTAAAATAAAAATTACAATGGTATAACTTTCCATTGAATGCATTTATAGTTATTTTTAATAAAGGATTTAGTGTGATAAACATTAAATAAAATGCTTGCTTTTATATGAACATAAAATAAAATAGTATACATTTATGTCGGTGAGAATTTATAATTTTGTGCCTACAGTTTTCCAGTACTTTCTAACCAATACACATAGTTATTTATAATTATGTCTTGGCAAAAAAAAAAAAAAAAAATATATAAGAACTGAAATAACTAATACGTTCTAATACATTACATTCCTAATTTATATTAATAAATAAATTTGTATTATTGATTAGCCAAAAAAATTTTTTTTTATTAATTAATAAAATATGTGTATTATTGTAATATTTAAATATATGGGTTGTAAATATTTATTCATTAATTACCTATTGCAGATTAAGTAGTAAAGATTAAAAGCTTACAGATATGAAGTCAATAATACTAAGTACAATATATTTCAAATGTTGATAAAAATATTACCATTTTGAAGTAATTATTGATTTTACTCGAATTAATTATGAATTTTAAATTATTTATATCGAGTAGCATTTTTTTTTTTAAATAGGTACAATAAAATCATACTAAGCATACATCTCGATTTAATATTTTTAATGCGTTGTAAAAATTCGCATACAATATTCCGTAAAATTAAACTTTAAAAATTAGCAATGCGATTATTAAACTATTACGTGAGAACATAAAATATAATTATTAGTTAATATAATTAATATAATTGTATTTTGTGTCCTAACACTTCTACTGATATATAAGATAAAATAAATAAGTATCATTACTAATCGCCCCGATAGAAGCTTATGAAATTAATCACAATAACTGTGCATAATGTCTTACTGCAAGATTATAAATTATTCACCTTTATTTAATATGACAATGTCATATTGATTAAATGATTCTATTGTTTAGAGGATCTCTATATGATTAATAGAGATGGGAGGTTTGATGTATCTGAGGTCGTTTTATCATATCTGCTTATCTTGTGTATACTGTTAATCTATAATTTCATAAGAGCTATACCATTGGAGGTAGACCTTAAACAAGAAAGAGAAAAACAATAATAATACATCAGAGTTCTGTATTATAGCTCTAGGTACCTAACCTACGCTGTGTGTAGAATAATGTACTAAGATGTGTTTTATAAAAGACGGGTAGTATTTGAAGGACACATGGAACAATAAAATTATAGTTGACTTGTACCTGCATGGCGCCAACAATAATGTCGTTAAATTGTTTAATTAAATGTCATCAATATTTGTTTCTAGTTTTTTTGAGTATAAGAAATATTAGGTAGGTAGGTACATACAATAGCAGTGGCAGGGCGAAGGATTCAATTTTGACGCAATTGCGTCAACTTTTTTTGAATGCTTTTATTGTAAATAATATTGTTTATATTGTATTGTACTTACATAATAGTTTTAGATTCAAATTCAGAATCTTATTGACTACTTAAAAAAAAAAATAAAAAATAAAAAATACCTTGAATAGATGCCTATTTAGTATGTGTAAGTATAATTACATTTTTATCATTATAAATACGTGTCAATTTGGAAACCGTGGTGGTAGAGTGGTGAAAGGTTTGATATTAGGGGGTGGTAGTGGTAAATACTTGAATATGAAATTGCGTCTTTTAAAATTTAAGTTTAGTCCGCTACTATACAATAGTATAAAAAACTGACTGAGTAAGTAGCTAGGTTATTTTATAGCTTGTACGTTGTTGATTTATCACGTATTTTTACATGGCGAGTATTAGTTATTCATTGTAACTTAACTTATTGCATTCACTTTTCAATCAATGTATGCTTATAGAAAATTCTTTGTGTTATGTTTTTTGTATACTTTATTTCAACAACCACCAAAATAATTTATGATCTTGCCACGCTGGTGTGATGAACGTTGTGTGTTTGTTTTCGTTTTTGTTTTGTTATGAACATTTTTCAACACATCGTTCACTGTCAAAAATGGTCACGACTTTAATATACAATATATAATATAAGAATGTATATAATATGTGCTTCGTGTATAGTCATACGAAATATTCCAAATTGATATTTGTAACAGTAATACAATATTAATTTTTTTCCTGTATTTAATTTAAAAATAGTTGGCTTTTAGTTGCTTACTTAAGAAAGTATTAAAGAATATACGTATAGGTACATGTTCTTATTATACGTTTTCAATATTTATACTATATTTTTAAACATAGTTAAAGCTGTACCAAAGGGATTGTATAATAGATAGGATCAATTGATTGATGTGTTTTTATTTCACAAGTTTTGATAAGTCAAATTCATTCTAATAATTTTTTTTTTTTGATTTATGTTAGATTCTTTACGGTTTGAATAATGTTTTTTAATGATGATGAAATTTGTGTGATGTAAATGTTTTTATAACTAATAAATGATACAAAAAAATTATTATATAAAAAGCATTAAACAATTATCGACCGTTTTAGTTTATTTTTGTACATATTCGTGTATTATGATTTATAGGTCATGAACAAACTCAGAGCTTGGATAATAAAATATATATATATCATTATCAATAATGATGACTCAGGAACTTTTTTAAGTAAATTTTTATCCAAATTTAAAAGTAGAATTGGAGAATAAATCCTGTACTTAATACTCATCTATACTATTATATTTATATATTATTAAAGCTTCATTTCAAGGAAAACAACAATGTCCAGTAGGTTAGGTGAGCAGTCAACCCAATCTAATTCATACGATTTTCGTTTATTTTTTATTTGTTTACTAAGCGAAATAACGAAAATAGGTTTAGTAGAAAAAAACACTAAGCAATGATTTGTATTGTTAAAACGTTAATAATTACTAGACACTCTTATTGTTTCAGTACGTTTTACGTTATATTTTAGATACGCGAGTAGGTATCAAAAATATGGCAATTTAAATGATGCATCTATTTTTCAAGTTTAAATTAAAACTACGTAATGAAATATTTTCTGTTGTGAAATAAAATTATAGAACCTATAATTGTTTGTAGAACAAACTAATATTAACCTTATTTATTTGAGAATTTTATAATATAGTTTTATATATTATCATATTTAAGATTCTTACGAACTAAAGAGGTGAATATTGTACAATAGTCAAAAGTATTATGCAGATTAATTATTTCAAGAACAACAAGATAAGAAAAATAATAAAATAAACGACTAATTTAATCTAAAAGTACCAGATGTTATAATAATATCATACAGTAATAATATTTACATTGTTATTAGTTATTAATTATTATAAATTCAGTACGCCGAGGTGATAATTATAAAGATGATTTAATAAAAATATTTCATATACCTACCTATTTTATAGTGTAAAGTATAGTCGGAAACTAAGAAACTCGGAAATATCCGTTTGTTCATGACGTCTGGGGTTATAGTTAATGTTTATAAGGATTTCCGATGTTGCATCGATCGTCAAACAAATAGTTATACATGTTTACCTCGAAATCACTGTTTCCGATTTAAAACAATATGTCATAATTCCGGTTTTTTTTTTCAAATTATATTATAGATTTCCCTCTGGACTAGGATCCAGGGCTATCTTCTCTTTATCTCAGGCTTCAATACCTATACAAACTGCTAACCTAACCCAACTTAACCTATGTAATCATGATTATTGTGTTCAGTAAATTTGATAACTTTTCAATAGGTACCTATGTCTTATTATATTACAATTGAATGCACTGTAATATGTAGCTCGTTATGATTGCGGACTGCTGTATTTTAAGTATTATTACATAAAATATATAATTCCAAAGTCAATCTCTTTGTCTATTATGAGAAATATTTGACTATTTGTTTAAATTATATTTTTAAAATAATAAGGTATTAACATTTTAATAAACATATTTTCAGGTGATGATAATTAGAATTAAGATGGTATTGTTTTAATTTATTAGAAATACTAACTATGATAGTCACTTTTTAAATTCAAGAGCTTTTTAAAACATTTTTAGTGCAGTAATCCCAAATATTTTTAATTTTTAGGTAGATCACCAATATTTCAGACGTAGGTAACACAAATAATGTTTAATTTACTTATTGATGAATTCTTATAAATAAATTAAACACGTGTCATAAAGCATAGATAATTCTTGTCCTATGCATCATATTTCATCCAATATCTACTGTGCCGGTATAAGAAATTTAATTTTTTTTAAAGTAGAGAATAATATAGGTAACATAAGTAATATTAAAAATGATTTATAAATTATATTATTATACACTTCTGCAGTGTATTTGTTTCATATTTGTGATTAGTTTTTGATTCAGAGGGGACCTCAATTAGATAAAAATATAATTACACTTGTGTGTATAGTATACAACTACCGTATAATGCAATGACAAATCAAATTATTGTTGTGCATGCAATAGGTAACGATGTTTCTACAGGATTTAGTGTCGGCGTATATAATAATATATAAACGATTTTTTTGCTTACCTCGACGTTATTAATTTCATAGACTAATTTGGTGTATAATAACTGCATTTGTAGCT